TCACGCGGTCGCAGGCCGCGGGGGCCGCGGGCTCAGCCTTCTCGGGCTTGGGAGGCGCCCGGCTCTTGGCCGCCTTCTGGCAGATGTGCAGGTGCTTGAAGAAGGCGTGGTGGGTCCGCAGCCTGCTCCTGCAGCTCTCACACCTGGAAGAGGACGGACGGACGGCCCTGGGCTTCAGCCAAGCCAGCGAGCCCGCTCTGCACGCCCAGGCACCCCACAGCAAGCACAACCACGGCACAGAGCCGCGCAACACTCGGCGCTGGCTAACGTTACAGCACAAACCTCCCCTGCGCTCCCCCGCCCGGCTTTTAAGTTCCAGCTCGAGAGGAACAGCGATGAACATCCTGGTCACGGATGTCACACACACTCAGCACCACGCTCACACCGACACGAGAACTCTTCGAGCATGCAGATGTATTCACGGACTGTCTGAGCAGGTACAGAGGCGCTCTGAGAAGCCACCCTTACAGCCAGGATAGAAAATAAAGCTTCCCCGGCACAAAACGGCCACGGTTTTTGCCGTCAGGTGGCTTCTCCAGAAGGCGTGGCGTTACGCAAGCCAAACCGGACTGAGACCTGCAGCAGATCAAGCTGACCGAGCAGAACGAGTTTCCCCACTCTGCAGCGCAGCAGTGAGCAGCAGCCTGACTCACAGGAAGTAGCGGTTGGGCTTGTAGTGGTGGCGCGTGTGGTCCATCAGCTTCTGCATGGAGGGAAACGTGCCTGTGCAGCCCAGCGTGGAGCAGTGGAACTGTTTGCCTGAGGAGAGGACTCTGTCAGACTCGCGCTCTCTCACGATACGATACTCCATTGTCTGACTGATGCATCGAAGCACACACACACACAAACTTGCAGACAAAGAGTACAAGCAGACATTACAGATAAATATAACATAACAGGCATCTAGTCATGCAAATTCAGTTCACACCACTCTTACAGGAATCCCCACGGCCACACCAGAGCCCTGTAAACGGACTTCACCTCAATTACACTAAACCCATAAAATTACACATCACCCCTTCACTTCTACACACTGATTACAGTTGCCTGTAAACCACTTTCCCTTAATTTTTACTTATTAATTGGGGGGCTTGATTGAGCATAAGATAAAAGACCACTTCAACATCATTTTGGAGGCAGAGTTCATGTGCTTCGTGCAGAAAGTACGAGCAGAAAGCGACTTCAGGGTTATCTGAGGTTAATCAGCATGGATGGTGGGAGGTGATGCCAGTGCCACTTACCCAATGAAATAAACTCTCCATGCAGGTCTGGAATGCTAGGAGGGAGATCTGGCTGGAGCGATCTGCTCAATTTCCTACATCCTACATTCTCCACAAAAACTCGAGAGGCGCAAAGTCTCATATCAGTAACCTCCCGACTGCGGTGTGCACACGCAGCTGGGTGAATCTGAACTTATTTAGCAGAGCAATTGCCAATCTGCACCCCCCAACATGAGCACAGGGGATCAGAACAGCCCACACAACCACAGACCACCGCACACTAGCAGGGTACTGCAGCACTGGGGCTCATCTTTCTATCGGTGTGGGTCAGATCCCTACACACAGCTAGAAGCAAAAACTAACAAAAAAAGATCATTCCCCTAAGGAATGTGGGACTGAAGGACCTTAATCCCTACCTTCCAGTGACTGGGTTGGGATGTAGTGGCTTCTCGTGTGGCTCATCAGCTTCTGCATGTCAGAAAAGACTTGCTTGCAGCCGAAGAACGAACAAGGCACAGTTTTTCCTACAAGGCCAACAAAGTCTACGTCAAACCCCCCCGAAGCCTGCAAACAACAAGCGTCCGGACAGATGTCTCACTAACAAGGGACTCCAACAGCACAACCTTGTAAAGCACTGACGCACTGAATAATCTACAGAAATAACCTGAAGAAGTCAGGCGTGCTGTACGCTGTTTCCCAAAATCTGCTCCTAAAAACAGAAATGTGAATTATTCCCACTCAGTTTGGAATCAGAAATTGTGTTTTTTCCCCCCACATCTTGGCTCCAAGCTATGCAGCTTATGGTCACACTCTAAGGAGAATGAGGAAGTCCAAGCACTGCAACATTATTAATAATAATATAGAGTTTGGGGCTCTGCACTGAGAACTGCAGGGCTCCGGGTTTGAATCCCAGGCAGGACACTGCAGCTGTACCCTGGAGCCAGATGCCTCACTCTGCTCCTATGGGTGGGAGCCAGGCTTTGGATGAAACCTACAAGGAAAAGGTCAGCCCAGAAGGAATGCAGCAAACGTTTCTGACAGAGCGGCTATCTAGCACAGCAGCGGCGGAGCAGAAATGTGGTACCTTCCGTGGCGCCAGGGGGCGCTAGCTGTCCCAGGGGCGGCTCAGACATGTCGCTGGCGAGAGAGGGCCTGAGCTCATGATGAGCAGGACCTACAGGAAGGGGGCGGGTAACAGCTTTTGCGGGAGAGGCTGTCTGAAACACAACAAGAACTTGTTTTGCGATTCCATCACAAAAAGAAAAAAAAAGACAGGGAGAAAGCTGTCATTCGTGCCGAGGTATATTCTCAGTATTAGCTCATTTAGTGACTCAACACGAAAAGACACTTAAACACCGAGGGGACTGGAATATAAACATTTTCCTACCAGAAACCACTGGTGGTTTCAAAACCTGCAAGATTCTCTTAATCTCGTCGATCGGTTTTTAAAGTCACAAAAGCGATGTTTTATTTCTTCCTTCCCGCTCGATAAACCCTTGAGGTCGCCCAGTATGCGGGGGGGACCTGACAGAATGAAAAGCACGTCGCTGCCGTTTTCCTGGGAAGGGTGAACACAGCCTGCGTGTTCGGAGGAAAACTTCATTTCAGCACAAGGGCTGAAAGTGGAGCTCCGTCTCGCGCGTGCAGAAGTTACAAGAACTTGCTCAGAGGTAAACAGAAACACAGCAGGACATCTCCGTTCAACGACTACTCAGCGGTGCGTCCTATCACTTAGTACAAACGGAAAATCCTTGCATCTCCGTCACGCTGCGTTTCAGAACATGCAGGGTCCGAGGGAGGTCCTTTCAACAACGAAATGGACTGATTCTGTTTTGCTGTCTTTTATTCTCGAGTACGACTGCGAATCCCCCCTCATTAGCATTACACACAGGAGCTGCCTACGAGACAGGCGCCTGCAAACACACGTCAGATATTCCAGCTGTTGGCACTAAATGGCTCTCAATACTGGAAAGAAAGTAAGAACGAGGGAGAAACGATGCACAAAGTGTCGGGTTCGCAGCACGCCGAAAGAAAACACTTCTTTCTGCAAACGCACGACTCTCGGACAGTTTTTAATCTCTTTCACTCACCATTCGCCGGTTAAAACCAGGAGAGGGAGGGAGGGGAGGGGGATTAATGGGTTCCGACCAGTCTTGTGGCGCTGTTTCGGTTACACACACTCCAAAAAAAAAAAAAAAGGTGGGCGAAGAAACTATAAATAACCAAAGGCGTGTATTTCACTTTCTCGCAAGCAGCCCCTGCGCGTTAGCCATATTGGACTGCAGCTGTCGCGAGACTGTCAACAAAGACGGGGAGGCGCTCGGGGCTCCCCCGTCACGTGACGCCGCCGCTTTGAACCGGAGCGTCAGGCCGCCCCGTCCGCTCTCCTGCAGGAGGGGACCGCCGGGGGAGCCGGAGCCCGTCCCGGCGAGCGCAACGGGCCACAGGCCGGGCTACGCGCTGGACGGGACGCCAGCTCAGCGCAGGGCACACACTGATATAAACACACACACACCGGGGCCGGTTTTTCTCAGAAGGCGGTTAACAGCATGTCTGCTTCTCGGTCTTTTGGCTGGGATCAAGTGTAGTATGTTTTTTTGGGGGGCTGTGGCAGGAAGCCGGAACGGAGCTCACACGAACACGGGGAGAGCATGCAAACTCCGCGCAGACAGCACCCCAGGAATTGAACCCGGGGCCCCAGCGCCGCCAGGCAGCTGCGCTGACCCCTGGTGCAGCGTTTCACGCGGAATTACCTGGAGCCCGAGAACAAATACTTGCACTTCGATCTTCCTGCTCTTGTCCCGGGTCCTGCTTCAGGATTAAATCGGACACAGGCTGTCAGAGGTGACAAGGAATTCTGAAACAACCCCGATGAGATAACTGTTTTAGTACTGAAACGTTGTCAGAATATCCCATAGCAGGTTAGCAACAGCAGCCAACGTCCCACATTTCAGATCGTATTCTTAGAAACAGCCCCGTCTTGAAATCGCTTCCGGCGAATCATCCCTTAGGACTGAACCCGGGCACCCTCACCCTTCCCCGTATGGCGCGGCTGGTTTGTCCAAGTAACTTTGGAAATCCTTTATAGTCCCAGACAATCCAGTTGAGTACACCTTCACACCCTCTCGTTTTCAGCGAAGACCTGCAGAAAAGGGCGCGTCTCAGCACTGTCCCACACACGGTCACGCTATGAGCACAGTATCTCGTAATTACTTCATGTGATAATCACGTCGTAGCGCGACGGTCACGCAGTCATCGTCTCGAATCGGCGTTGGTTGACTTTCAGTTTTAAGCCGTGAATAAAGAATGAGGAATCAATCATTCTTGTTTAAGAGCAAGTGCGGGTATCCTCATGGTTATGAATGAGTGCGCATTAGGTACAAGTGGTAACATTTCATTCAGACTAAACTGCTCATTCTGCAGCGCTGGATCCCGTCTGAGCCCAGAGTCCAGCTGGGCTCCCAGTAGCCTCAGGTGCTGTCATTACACAACGTCACGGGTTGTCCATCCACTGAAATGATCCTTGCTATTTTATAACTAGGAGATGATTTGCTATCTCGTAATTACTAGAGAATGTGCCATCTCGTAATAACGAGATCATTTTCTCCTGATAACGTGATAGCACATAACACGTTTTCCTTGATGGCAGAAATGCACTCCCGTAGTGTACAACTGCTGTCATAAGGTGGAATTTGTAAAAAGTACCGCATCTTAAATGTCAAGTTGTACAGAGGACAACGAAAAATGATGCAGACGGTAGACCAGCAAATTAGAGATATACCAGTAAATATTCTTCCGGTACTGTGTGAGGGGGGAGAGTCTAACCCAGTCAAGCGGAGAAGCTTACAAAAAAGCAGAACAAACCGATGTAGTTCAAAACATTATTTTAATCTTAAACTTAATTTTTCAGTCCAGAAAACTGAGAGAATAGATCCATCATCAAAATCTGATTGTGAGTACAGTACTGTTACCGCAAGAGGCCTCGGGGAAATATACTACAAAGGTTAGTATAAATGGAAGATAACATAGTTGCCGTTTAAAGCTAAGCAGCACCCCGCTTCAGGCCAGACCCCGAACTCACGGGGAATGGAGCCCACAGTGGGCACCTGCTCGAGTCACGGAGACTGCCGAGGCCGGCGTGAAGCGCAGCTGCGGTCCCGTGAACGAGTGGCCCACCGAGGCAGTGGACGTGTAAAAAAGCCCCAAATTAGCGAAAATAATCCCCCACTCGTGTGATGTAGTTTTCACCAGAACCCACCTCGCGATCCAAGGCTCGGTTCGGTTCCGTCGGCCTGTCCCCACACTGCGTACTGTGTGTGGCTCAGAAGGCGCCCCTTACACTGTGCAAATACTTGTTTCATTTAGATAAAGGTGTTTTCATTGAAATACAAATTAGGCTTCCGCAGAGTTGCTGATCCCAGCAGAGTCCTGCCGAGTTAAAAGCTTGGCGCTTACATTTTTCAGTGAAAATATTTGTTTGTTTTTTTTACAAACCGAAACTAAAATACGAGTCTGCTATGTCAACAGCTCGCGCTTTAAATAAACTTCATTTCTCGCAGGTGATTGAATTGTACCGGTGTTCTAGCAAAGCCTTTTTGGATGCTTTTGTGAAAGAAGGTGAGTCTGTTTACCGGGTGCCAGAAGCACATAAAAACGACACGCAGTTCCACACAGATGTGGATCTTCTCCAAGTGAATTTTGGGTTTTTTTTTCTTGTGATTTTAGACTTCATCTTCATGCAGGAGACATGGGAGATACACGGCTTGCATCTTGAATAAAGAATCTACGATTGAGACTCGGAAAAGGTGGGGTCAGATGGATTATTTATGATCGCCGGAAGCAGTTCGAGAGGAGGAATTCAGGTGGAATGTGTCATGACCTTTGAACTGAGGGATGCCACTGCGTTTCCACGAGCCTTTATTGCGTCATCACTTCGCAGTGACGTCTTCATTCCCGTTGACGTAGCGGCGTGTGACTCAGTTAATAAGCCTCGTCCAGCAGCAAAGCAGCTCTCGTCTTCCTTTTATATAAAATCCGTGACCCCCACCCAATACCATACCAGTCCCTCATAAAAACGTTCTCTGAAATGTTATGTTGGATCTAACCCTTAGCTCCCCTACCAACACTGTGCAGTATTCATAGTGAGCCTTCCTTCACGATTTAACTGCATCGCATACATGCGTTTTTGTCGTTATTTCGATCACCTATTTTAAAAATCCATATGAGAAAAACAGAAATGCTCGTGCTTCTCTGTCCCAGTGAAACTCTCGGACAGCCGACTCCCCGAGCCCCAGATCCCGGAGCTCTGCTCGCGCGATGTAGTCCTCGCTGGGAGTCCTAGGAGTCAGTCGGTTTCGTACAAAGAAGTTAGTGCCATTTTCTGTGTTCTGTCTTCAGAGATGTATAGCTGGCACTGTGGTGTACTGTAGTTGACAGGCATAATTTTCACTTTAATTTAGACAAAACTGTTAACAGTTTCTGCTAACAGTATATAAAGACTTTTTTTATAACTACATTTTTTAAACTAATTTGGAAATATGACAGAACATATTGTCCAAGACTGTATACAGGTTCTGCATCACCGAAAGCATTTCTGTCTAAAATGAACCTCTGTATGAATGCTGACTGAAGTGCGGAGCCTTGGACCGTCCCTTCAAGCGAGACTGTTATTTAGGGTACAAAGGAAGGAGTAAAGGTTTATTCCATGCTGAAAAGAGAGGAAAAGAAACACAACCTTTCGGCTGTGGAGCCTTATTCGGGTGTTATTTAAGGTATGCAAGCCGTCAAGCGTCAGTGTGGCAAACAGCACCATCTAGTGTCCATAATGTGAATTACAGGCGAGGCTCAGTTTTAGCAGTTTTCTGGGTTAACCAGCAGTGGCAGCGATTTTCTGCTTTTCATTTATAAACTTTTAAAAAGCAATTGTCCTGTTACATTATTCCCAGTTGAAAGAGAGGCTCATTGACATTTTTTGCACGCTATCTTTGTTTAGATATTACTCCACGTCTTCTCGAGGGTACAGTACACCAGGTGTGGGTCTACTTGAAGTGGCTTTTAGCTGGATTGAAAACAACAAAACATTTTAAGCAACAAAAAAGAAAAACCTTGAGGGCCAGAGATACACAGGCTTTTAGAAGATTCACAAAGTGCCGGATTACAAAACAGCATCCAGTTACTTCTAACCCTTCCAAAATTAAATCTCCCTCAAATTTCTCCAAATATCTTCAGCAGGGGCTTAAAGAATCAGGATCATTTTATAGAGATGTATTTTTCATGAAACAGGATAAAAAATGTAGGGATGAGAACTCATCTCAGGGAATCTGCTCTGTTTTTGGGCCATTCGCAGAAACGGACATGGTTGGCATTTGTGGTACTTTAGACGAAGCTGAGTTTCGAACGCCTGTGGTTTGATCCCATGGCTGCCGGCAGTCCTGAGGCTGAGAGGAAGGACTGCTGGAAATACAAGCGGGAGGAGTCTCTCCCACCTTCCCCCCGCAACAGGGGCACGTGCTGCTCCGGGGCAGAAAGTAACAGCAGACACTGTGCAAAACAGCCCCTTCGACCCCAGCACCGGGGTCTGTAAGAATACTTGTATTTCAAATCTCGTCTCGGAGCTCGCAGGACAAATTCAGGACAAGCTGGGGGAGGCCAGGCAATATATCTCAGATCTTCTCCACATAGTTCCCGGGAAAAAGTCCCTCTTTGCCTTGAAACCGTCCCCTCCACCATCCAGACGGGTCTAGAAAGAGAAAAGAAGCTGTGGAATGAAACGGCCCCAGCTGAAGCCAGCAGGCAGGCAGCGAAGGCAGGCTGCTGGAGGATGATGGAAGCCCCACGTCGCCCACTGCTGTGGAAAACCTTCAGGAGTGTTTCGCGAACCTCGCGTGAGCTGGAGCAGGAACTGAAACGCTGCCAAATGCCAAGTCACTTTATTGCTGATCTATATACTGAGTAACTCTATATAGTTCTGCTGTACTGACAGATGGATCACCCATTACAGAACTCCATGTAGAAAAAGGTGGAAGCCCAGCTAGACATGACACTGCTTTCTATTGAGCTATTTCTACAGTTTTAGATCATGCAATTAATAATTAATATTCTCCCTGAAGGTTCCCTAATCACTTTATGCACAGGAAGGGAGCCACTTCATTCACCAGCGAAGTGATGCGCCTGTAGTGTATCTGAGAGCCACACCACAGTTACTCTGATGCAGATCCGCCCCTGTGAGACGGTGTGGCAGGAGCAGGCTGGAAGGTGGCAGTGATGCTGCCTCAACCCTTCTCTTGGACTCCTAGGGCTTCTCTTGAACAGAGCAGGCTCGGGCAGTGAGTCCCAGTCCCTTCGCAGAGGAGGCAGGACAGTGTTAAGAGTCATGCGGCGAGCCCAGACTCACCTTCGTTGAGAATGTCGATGACGTCGTTGACGTTGAAGCTGAGTTCGTCCACGTCCTGCCCCGCGTACTGATACACCGCCCGGCAGCGTGGCCCCTGGGGCCGGGCCTGGGGCTTGGGACGTCCCGTAGGGGCTGGAGGCGGCCGGTGCTGACTGATGCTCTTTTTCCTCTGCATCCTGTAACCCCAACACCCAGACAGAGGAGTTCAGGTGTGACGTCCGCCCTTCCTAGCAGCTCCTCAAAGAGCCACTCACGTGCACACACTGCAAACCCTTGGCTTTCACCCTGTTTATAGCTCTCATCAGATAAATGAAGAAGATCTGAGCGTCGAAATGGTCTTTTTTATACTGGCAGCAATACTTTGAAAGCCAAAAAGCAGAAAGTGGTACTTCCTTGCTGATGAAAGTCAGTTTCCCACCTCACCCCCCCCCCTACAAGGCCTCCCCACCCAAAAATAATTTCTATGGGATTTCTGGGTAAAATAAAAAAGCAGCTCTTTAAGGACAAAGACTACCAGCTCGATTCTCAGTGTCCTGGTGTAGTAAGGGTGTAGTACAGGGTGTAGTACAGGGTGTAGTGCAGGGTGTAGTACAGGGTGTAGTACAGGGTGTAGTACAGGGTGTAGTACAGGTGTAGTGCAGGTGTAGTGCAGGTGTAGTGCAGGGTGTAGTGCAGGGTGTAGTGCAGGTGTAGTACAGGTGTAGTACAGGGTGTAGTACAGGGTGTAGTACAGGGTGTAGTAAAGGTGTAGTAAGGGTGTAGTACAGGGGGAGACGTTACCCTGCAACGCCCTGGTCCGGCACGTTGAGGAAGTCCAGGTTGCCCGAGGTGTTGCTCTGAGGGGACACCTTCTTGGACTTTCTAGCGCCACTCTTGGGGAGAGCAGCCGCGGGGGGGCCTCGGCCCTGCTTCTGGGGCATGGTGTAAGTGGGGTTCCGCTCCGGCGCGTTGCCGCGGGGGAACTGGGCTGCCCCGTTCTGGTGAGCCCCTGGAAAGAGAGGATACAAGCTCAGGCTCCGCACTTCCTGCGCTGGGGATTGTGGGGATGGCTGAGCAGGCCCTTCCTGGAGAGGCGAGGCAGAAGGAGATGGACCAGGATACCAGACCGAGCTGCTCCAGGAGAGAGCGAAGAGAGGGCTGTGAAATGTGTTTTTGGGGGGATGTTTTTTTTAGTTCTGTTTACTGGGGACAGCGGCAATCATTTATTTTTGTGCACGTGTGCCCCTTGTGTTATTGAGGAGGCAGCTCTGACACAGACAGGTGCCGGTAGGTCACACCCAGAAAGCCTATGAGCCACAGAACGGAATCCAAAAGCTTCTGTCTGGAGCGTATCTTATCCTTCCCATACCTTTGTTTTTACATAATTGCAGTTTTTATTCCTCTAGCAACCACAAGAACTTTTTCACTATGTGTTGCATTTCAACAGTGTGCCAAGGAGCCCCAGACTACTCCTGCTCATTGACAATTCCCAGGTTCTCATCTGGTCATTACTGGGCACCAAGTTATTTCCTGGCATCTCTTACAATAAGTAGCTGGAGTCTGCCTCATTAGGGTCCTTCTAGATCAACGAGTTTAAAAAACCATAGTTGGTCTATAGGAAGTCCATGAGAGCCAGACTAGGAAGAGGTAAGCAGAAACAAGTAGAAGGCCGCTTCCTTTGTTGTGTATGTCTCCGGCGTAAGTGATGTAATTGCCCAGGTGGGCTGTGACTGGCTCTTTACCGCTAGGGGCAGAGGGGGCGGGTCTTTGTGGGGCTCGGCTCCGCCCCCCACCTCGGCTCTGTGGAGCTCCTTTCCTTGTGGGCTCTGAAAAACACAGACACACGGACACGGGTAACAGCTCACTCCCCACTAGCTTGTCACCTGCAGAGGCTGACAGCCGAGATCACAGAAGCTCCCGTGCTGCGGAGTGCTGCGTACAGTCAGAAACAACACGCCTGCAGCCCATCATTTCATCACCAGGGAATGAAAAAGAAGACGGGGTGCACAAGACGAAAAAGTATGAAAGATGTCAAGTTCTTCTAAAATAACTAAAAATGTCCATCCATACATTTTCGATTTTCGAATCATTTCAGGGTCACGGGGAGCTGGAGCCCATCCCAGCAAGCAAAGGGTGCAGGTAGGGTACACCCTGGGCACAGCACACACACACACTCTCTCACTCTCTCACTCTCTCACTCTCTCACTCTCACCAGGGTCAATTTTCCCAGAAGCCAATTAACCCACCAGCATGTCTTTGGACTGTGGGAGGAAACCCATATGAACACGGGGAGAACATGCAAACTCCACACAGACAGCACCCCAGGAACTGAGTCCAGGGCCACAGTACTGGTACTGTGAGGCTGCAGTGCTCACCACTGCGCCACCATCGCGCCACCCGCTAAAAAATCTCAAAACCTGTAAATGCAGCTGATCAGATGCCGATATACTCGAAATCTCAGCAACAAGTTATGGAACAATATCCACAGGCAACAAACGTCTGTAAAACGTATATCCCTGTTTAGTGGCTATAACAGAGACACAAGACTGAAATGTTGGATTCGGACAGCCAGAGAGCTACGCAACATGCTTTTCCCCCACTGGGTTTCCTAGCGTCTCCACTAGAGTCAGAGACAGCTCACGCTCTGCGAAGTGGACGTGGACGCTCCTCGCCACCTGCTGGCCGGAGAGCAAGGGGGCAGCAAAGCGCTCGCGCGGTCCGGATCAGCGCCGCAGGGCTACTCACTGGCGGTCTTGGGCAGGCCATCCCCAATGGTGATGGTGAGGGTCTTTCCGCTGGGCTTGAGCTGCGCCAGGTCCCCCTGGCCGCGCTGTACCACCACGCAGCGCGAGCCCCCGCCACCCCAGCCCTCCTTCTTCACCTTGAAATCGATCCTGGGGGGTGGGAGAGCGACAGGGCTGTTAGCGCAGAGTGGGGCCCTGCAGTGAGGGTGGGGCTTCAGCACAGAAGCTTGAGTGTGGCGGAACAGCTGTTGCCAGGGTAGGACGCTCAGCTGACCGGCACTGCAGGACACTAGGGTCTCTGTAGCGTGTGTAAACAGGTTCACAGGTGGTGCATTCATCGCTTCAGCAGGTAATAACATTCTCACGTATTTAATTTAGACTAAATTTGGTTTAGAAAGGGATTCACAGTATGGCGATGGTTGTCACTGGGCTGGTCAGAGTAGGTTCTCCCTTGTGTGTATTGCTAAACCTGTTTAGACTAAACTCTCCCTGCACGGTATATTTCTTCCTGTTGTGGTCTGCCCATGTTCTCAGACCTCAGGTGCCACATGGTGAGGAGCTGGCCCATCACTGTCAGTTCTACCCCTCAGGATACAAAAAGCCTCTGTCAAATCTGCAGTTTCACTGCAGCTGACGGTTGAACCAGTGCTGGGAAAACACCTTTGGAAGAGAACGGCTGAGACATTACAGGTTACCGATCTGGACAAGTGGAAACTGTGTGTCGAAAACCCTAGAACAGCCGTCCCTTCTCTACACAAAGGGTGATGGGAGTATGGAACAAGCTACCCTGCCATTTTTTTAAGCCTATACCCTGGCTTCATTAAAAAAAACCCCGTGAGATCCTGGGGTGAATTAACTCCTCACTACCAAACATCTCGGACGGCCGAATGGCTTCTCCTCTGTAAGCTGTCTCGTGATTCCGCGAGCGCGGAAGGCAGGGGACGTACCGGTCGGAGAAGCGCAGCGCCAGCTTGCTCTTTGTTAGCTCCTCGAAGCGCTTGCACAGCAGGCTGAGGAACTCGGTCTTGAAGTTGGACTCCAGCAGGCTGTCGTACTCGGCCTCGTGCAGCACGAAGAAGTCGTCCTGCCGCGAGCTGGGTGGGGCGAGGAAGAGGACAGAGGTTGCACAGGTGCCCCTTTAGAGACGCAGAGACTCGGACAGCCGTGGACAACAAAAACACCTGAGGTCAAAGATCCTGGCAGGGGATTACTGCTGCAGGAAACACATATTTTCATTCTTGCAAACATTGCAAAAAATAAACAATCCTTTTGATACATCTTAGCATAGGCCCTTAGCACACTGGAACTGATGATGAGTGCTGATGTCATCATTCTGGGCTGAACTGCAGCCTAAAGTAGATGAAAACCTTTTGGTCGGCTGAACTCTTAAAATCTGTCAATGCAGAAGATATTGAAGACCCTGCTTTAATATCACATGGACTGTTTAAAGACCAGGTTGCAGGTCTCTGTTTTCTGGAAAATCCTGACTAACCAATTGCAATCCCACTCTTGGCAGCGTTCAGATGATTATGTATCAGTGCCTTGGGCAGTCCTGATCACAGTCATGACAGAGGTCATGTACCTGCCTTTACTTGCCCCATCTCATGTTTTCTTCTTTGACAGTGTCCTTAAGCTGCAGATATTATCATGTAGCCGGTAGGTGTTTGGAATTGATCTAATAATTCCTTCAAGGTGATTCTGCTTTCATTTCAGATTACAGTTCTCAGCAGCAGGTCACTTCATTTTGAACTGTGATGATAATTAATTTACCTCACCAAGCTGAAGGCTGAACCTGTTCCTGAATGTCACTGAGCTTCTGCTGTGAAATTTAAGATCTGTGCAGAATCGAAAATTGCTGGTTTAGACGCATTTCAGCATCCCTTCACCATGAGTGACACTGGTTGGAGCACAACGTCTGCTTTGTCTAAGCATTACCCAGCCATGTTGTTGGAGCTGATACAGTGGTGTCCTTCAAGAGACACCCGCATGTCTACTAACTACCACAAGAGCTGGATGGGCCTCCTCGCTTTTTAAATCAATTTGTAACACATTTTATGTTCTTCATTTTCCTTCACTCTGGGTTTGAAATGAAAGGTTTTGTGCTGCGTTTCAGGAGCATCAGTGTCTCAGGTACACAGTTCCAGCGAAGTGGTGCTCGGGGCACAGACTCACCTTAATGACACGCTGCAGATGCTGGCGATCTCCAGCTTCCTCTTCAGGACCTCCTTGATCTGACCCTTCTCCGGACCCTTCTTCACCTTCTCTCGACCAATCAGGTAAATGCCCTTGGGGGTCAGGATCAGATCCCGCTTTATGGACTGCGGGGGGGGGGGGCAGGGGGAGAGAGGCTCGTGAAAATGGGAGTCACGAACGTGCTGCACACCAGCTCACAGAAGCAGTCTGACGCAGAAAAAAATGAGCTTAACGTTATGAGAAATAAGAGAGAAGCTCATCATATCGTCACGCATACGGCCGACATTCCAGGTTGTGCGAGCCGGCTTTCCAGCACGGCGACGTCAATGTCCTTCCCTGTGAATAGCAGGGACCTCAGCCGCCGGGTTGATGGGAGATCTCCCTTTAGCTTAACTGGCTTGTTCCCTGCTGAGTGACGCCGGAGGCCTGGGTTCGAGTCCCCAGTGGTGGGGGGCCGACCTGATGCGGGAGTGGCGATGGCGCATACCCACATGAACCCGAAAGAGCTACAATATATTAAAGCCTCAAACTGGTTCTCCCATCATTCCCTACCTTAAACCTCCTGTCGTACTTGTTGACGGAGTCAGCGAAGTCCACGCGCTCCCTCTTGCCCAAGAACTGGCGCAGTTCGGGCTTGTCCTCCATGCCCAAGTAATCTCCCACAAAGTTCCTGTTGATGCTGTTCCTGCGCCTCTCCTTCGAGTTGTACAGGATGTCGGAGGCTGAGAAGACCATGGGAAACACCCACTACATTATTCTACCACGGAGAGGTGCTTTTAAAACCCAGAACAGGGGGGCTTTCTTTGCGCAAAGGGTTGTGGGAGACTGGGCCAAGCTACCCCATCGAGGGGTTGAAGCCGATTCCGCAGCATCCTTCAAGAACTGCTGATCGAGATCTTGGATCAATTAACTACTGATTCACAGACGGGCAGGTGGCATCATGCCGTGTGCAGGCAGGATCATGTGTGTAGTACAACATACTTGAGCTTCTTCTCAAGTTGACCATGCTGACATGTCCGCAGGTATGTCCCCCAGTCACTTACCCTCCTCCCGCATCTGCTCGTATTTCCTCCTGGCAATGTACTTCCTCCAGGCTTTCTGAATAGTCCTCGCGAAGGTGTCGAACTTGCGCTCCCTCATCTCCTCCAACAGGAACAGCTGGCCGGAACGACATCAGGATGCATTTACCCAGCAGGGTAACTGCAGTAATGTGTGGGTTTTGTTCATGTTTTAAACAGGGTTAGGAATTACGTGGGAACTAGGTTTTACAAAGGGTAGGCCCTAGTCTGCATGTCTGCATGTTTACTTGCACATTGTCTATTGTTTGTTTGTACATTGTCTTGATGCACTGTTTGCACTTTGTTTTGTTTTTTACACTTGTTTTACAATCGAGAGACTTTCTGTAAGTAAGAATTCCATTGTACCAGTACCGGTTACATATGGCAATAAAGTTCAAGTTCAAGTTCAAGTCAGAGCAGTTGTGTTATAGAGGCTCATCTGAAGAAGAGGTGATGTGGATTAATCTGTGAATTCTGCACAGGGCACATCTGGCCTGACACGATGTGAATTATGTTTGATGGAGCTGATGTATATTTAAACAAACACAGTTGTCCCACTGAACCTCTTTTAACCAGAAGCTTGATATTTGTACAACAGTCCCTGCTGTAGAAACAGCGATCTTTTACATCAGGCCCTGCATGAGGCACAAGACTCGTCACGACAACGAAACACGGGGTGACCCCCCGGTGGAGCGCGGCTGCCCTACCGACTCTGGGTTCTTCACGAACACCTTGGTGCGCCCCATCTGGTACTGGTCGGAGTCCATGTTGACAGAGCGCAAGAGGTGCTCGACGCCCTGGCGCTCGTCGCCACGCCAGCAGGGCCAGGTTTGTGGAGTGAGGATGGCATACCTGGAAGCGCACACCGAGACAGCAGTGATGTATTCCACCCACACACTCGCCAGAAACTTTTTGCTTTGCGTATGAACCATCCCCGGCTCTAAACCACAGGCCAGAGTTAGATGCTCTGTTCCCAGAAATCCTGAGTAAGACCGTCCTCCATCTCTGTACCAAAAGACCGTGTGAATCGCTCAACAGGCTCCCATACCCCGAACAAAGGATTCGATCTGCCCCACGGGGCGGCCTCACCTCTGTAGGAACTTGCCAAAGATCCTGCGGTAGGCGAAACCAGCGCGTCTCACCCGGATGTTCTCCCGCAGGCCCAGGTACTCCACCTGGTGCTTCACCCTGGACATGCAGGACACACACACACTGAGTCGGGTCGCGGTGGCCGCTCGCCCTGCTTCCGAAACGATGCCCCCATGTGTGACGAGAGCAGCTCAGGTCTGCTCCTGCTGGGATGCAGAGCGTACACAGCGCCGCTCCCTAGACGGCGGGGAAGTCCCCTACGCCACAAAAGGGGCAGGATTCTACTAGGTTTGAAGGGTCGTGATGTCACTTTCGTAATGGCTCAGTGACATGTGCTCAATTCTCAGAACACGGCTTTGTCAGAGACTGTGGAGATCAGGTTTTACATGATGTACAGCTTTTAAAGGTAATTTCCCTTGGACACATACAACAACAAGCAAAATTGTCTCCTGAACCGAATTCATCAATGTTTTAATAACGTTAAACCAACTAAAATATACTGAAAAAAACACGAAATAATGCAAAAACACAGAACTCTCACTCTGCACTGCTATAAAGTGTGATTTATTAAACAGACTTTAATAAATCAGTACATTAATTCCCAGCAATAAATATATCACTTCAACAGCGGGTTCTTGCTGTTTGAAAGCAAAGGAGTTAAGATAGCTTGGTGAATTAATTCAATCAAAACCAATCATAACAGTAGGAATCCAGAAAAAAAAAATTATATTGGAAAAGTTAAAGGCAACTAATCTGTTAAAAAGATTTCATGGAAGCCTGCACATCAACAGGCATGTGTGACAGTGTCAGGCCTGTGAGCATCTGTGCTCTGACAATGACAGGGCACAGAGTGAGATACAGAGATACAGACCTGCTCTCCTCCCAGTCTTTGGGCCTCTTGGTCTCGTTGGGTTTGATGCAGCGGATGTAGTGTGGTGTACATTTCATCAGGGTGTTGACCAGGTCATTGGCTTGTTTCTGATGGAGCAGTAAAGCCAGACAGGCAATTAGCTTCCTCTACGTCCAACATAACTAAAAGGATTATTCCACCATTACTCCACCAATTAATGACTTGGGTTTCGATCGGTTGTTCATACCTAGGCTCTACAATACTACAGCAAATGGGAAATGCCTATGGGTCAAATTACAATGGGTTTTTATAAATAACTCTTCTGTAATCTCTTCTGAGCCCTGAGCACAGCTGGGTTATTTGGGAAGTTGGTAATAACTGGGATCAGCAAACGCATTTGTTCCTTAAACGAGGCAGCTTGTAACCGTAATTGTAATATATACTCTTGTTATCAATTAACGTCAGCAGAATGAGCAAAGGAACAGCTGACAGACCCATAAACTGGTGAATTTAAAGGGACAGTGATAATGACTCTGTTACAGAAATAAACAATACAGTATAGGCTATGGTATTTCACAACTGCAGGACGCCTTTCCAAAACCCATTGACACTATACATAGTGGTAAAAAAGTACAATAAAAATCCAATGAATTGGTCTCCTGCAGCGTTGGAGGAAAGGCAGTCCAGGAGGAAGGAGCAGTGACAGCAGAGGCACAGTCACCAAGCCTGGGGTTCAGTCCAGGGTTCAGGAAGCAGGGGACTGGCCTCCACTGAACCGGAGAGGGAGTGTAAACCTGGAGGAGCTCACTGTCTCATACTGTCGAGTGGGTCTGTCGCTAATGGGAAGGAATAGGAATGTGTGACTTTTAAAGAATGAATCGAAGTACTGCACTATACTGTATTTTATTGTGTCTGATGCCCGTTGGGGCTCAGGTCGTTATATCTGTACAGGTCGCATACATTTTGAAGTCACAGTAACACGGGCAGGATAACCACAGCTCTGATTAGCACCTTGATCTTACTGCTGGCCGTGGAGGGCCTGCCCTTCTTGTCTGTGTTGAGGTTCTCAGGGAAGAGGCTCCTGATGAAGTCGCTGGGGAGACAAGGGGAGCAGGCAGAAGGTGAGAGAGAAACACGGCCACGCCCACCTCCTGCCCTGTACCTGCATGGCTGTATAAATGGGAAGTAAACCAGAACTGTAGAGGCGTCGAAAGTAATTGCTGCTCTATATGCTGAAGAACAAACATTTCAGAGAGTGGAAAATCACCACGACTTAGCTACAATATATCTGACTATATCTACAATTTATTACTTCAGTGCCATTTACAGAACTGGAGAAACTTTACCTGGTTGCATTTTGATCTTTATGAATGTAATGTCAGTATTTTGAATGACTTCGCAACACTTGTACGGTGGTACCCATGTGCATATCATATATGATCTCATTCGGATGAGGAAGAAGATGCGTCCTCAGTTCTAGAGTATTTTTTAGTTCCTTTCCCCTTAAGGCGAATTGTTCTGATGATATCCGTACTGTTGCTCACCTGGCTACGAAAAGCCATGGCTGAACAAGAGGGAAGGAGAGGGAAGGGCTCACTTACTGTTCACTGCTCTGCATCAGCTCGATGAGATCGGGGAAGAGCACATCGCGGTTTCTCTCGCAGAAGCCGTTAACGTCGTAAGACACCTGGTCCGGGCGGAAAACACGCATAAAAAACACGCCTGGATTGTGCACTACAACCACATTCACGATGGCCTTCTGCAGATCCCAGTGGTTAATGCAGGAATGAGGACTTATTTAAGTATGCTACGGATGGAGATGCATGTCCTAGCAAAGCAACAGGTGAAGAATTAGCTCACAGAGATGCAGCCGCCTCCAGCAAGCACACTGGGCCAGAGCTCCACCTGATAGCCAGAAGACAAGAACAGAAGAGGGGAGAGGAACAGACCCTCAGTCCGTCATGACCACATGACCTGCATCATGCTCTGACCTGCACAACATAACAGGGGCCATTGCACAGCAGGATGGATCTCTGAGAGCAGCAGGTGCAGTTAGAAAAGGGTTAGAAAAGGGTATGATATGCGTTCCAAAGGTACACGATGTGCAGCCGTAGTGCACATAGTGTCCAGTCACGCAGCAGGGTGTGTGAGGTAGAAGAAATGCACATTCCACCAGTCCCACCAGCAGAGCCGAGGTCTGGGAATGTGTGTGGCACAGGCAAGGTGATGGACGTCCGTCTCGCTATGACACAAGCCAATCACACATAGAGTCTATTCATTTGAGTAGTGGGACAGGTCTGAGAGTATGATGAGACAGTTAGATCGATGGCATGTCTTAGGACAGCAAAAAGCAGTGTCCTGCACAGATTACCTACCAACCAATGAGCCAATCAATCAAGCAAACAAACAAATTATTCGGCATTATTTCTTGCAGATATGGCATTTGTAAAGGTGGAATATCTGCAAGAATGGAGTCTGTAGAATGAAAATCCTAATCTTGCCAATTAACCTTAACAGTCCTATTTGTAGGAGGAAAAAATGCACCAAACACTGAACAGTCTGAAGAAATGAGTGCTAGTCCAAGAGAAACTGTAAGCTCGAAGTTCACAAAGGTTTGATGCCTGTGCTGTTTCGTGGATTACTTCGGTACTAATCAACCACAGAGATCTACAGGTCCCATGAAAAACTTGACTACCAGAGAGAGGGAGAAGCCTGTGAAACCTCATAATTAGCAGATTGAAAGGGAAGTAGAAAACACATTTGCTTGAAGATGCAATTGCTGTGAACAACAGCTGTGAGGAACCTATTTCCTCTTACATGGATCAAACCTGTTTTTTGAGTAACAGTTTGGATCTTTCACAAGAAGTACAATATCTACAGGCACTTCTGGGGACACTTCTCCCAGTCTAGCTCCGAGGACCCCAGGACCCTTCTTGAGAACCACTGCAACAGGACGTCCGAGTGTGAGGCCAAGCAACAGGAAAGAAATGGAGTGCAAGACACCTCGCGGCAGGTTGTACAAGCTCTGGGCTGTTGCCCCTGCTGGCCCACCCCCCTCTCCTTTGTCCACACCTTGCCTGCGTAATGGTGGATGCAGAAGCCCGAGCTCCAGCTGTTGAAGTGCTCGTGGGTGCCCACCGCCGCCTGCAGCTTCTGCAGCAGCGTGGCGTCCGCACCCTCGCCCTTGGCGTGCATGGTGGCGCAGACGTCATCCAGGACGCTCATGATCCCTGGCGGGCTCTGCGGGCGAAGAGCAGCAACGGCTAAAGAGGGAGGAGACCTGAGCTCTGTGACCTGTGACCTGTGACCTGTGACCCGTGACCCACGACCTCCGTGAGGCCCCTCCAACGCTCTGCGGCAGTGCTGTCCACCTGCTGCAAGCCTGCTGTCAATTTGGCGTTTTCTGTGAGTTGGGGTGGTAATAATTATTAAATTGATTTATAAAAGTTATGTTCTATACACAAATCCATTAAAAACTCCAAAGACATTCTAGATTCTAGTACGCATCAGATATGGCCAATCCTACTCTTTTTGCTCAAGACTCTTCATTCTTCTTCATTCACGGCTTTTCATTTGTTTATTGATCTCACGGTTGCTGTGAACACTTTGGAAGTGTCAGGCAGTCAGCAGTGATTCCTAAAAGCTTACCAGCTTGTTCTCAATGAGGTCACACACTATTTTGTTATTGAAATATTCAATGGGTGTCCACTTGATGCCCTCCTGGACATACTCTTCCTGTAATGGGAGAAAGACACATGTGAGAGAGTGCGGTTGCTGATTTGCTTAAGTTCAAAATCATGTTCATCACAGGATAAATGAATTTGAGGTGTCATTATTCAATCACCTGTAGAGTAACGTGGTGTGGTCAAACTATGCAAGACATTCGTGTTATTTTAGCAGCACAGGGACAGCCCCAGCTTCAGGACACTGCATGATACACTAGTAGATTTCTCAAAACTTCAGAGCACAGACTTCTCCTACTTTTCTGAAAGTATCTGAATGGGGCACATTGTGACAGCAGAGACAATTTACACTGCAGTGTAAATGTCAGAAACCCAATTAGGGGCCACGATATTTAGATATTTAACAACAAGTTTTGTTATCAAACAGATTTTTTGAGGTGAGAAGAAGCTAAGCTTTCCTTTCAGCAAAATGTAATTCACATGGAAAAGATCTGGATCACAAGAATACAGTATATTGCCAACATCAGCAATTTACTCAAAGCCTCCCGCGACTTTAATTCAACTATAAAATCATCGACTGTAATTAAACTTGTTTTTAGTGAGAAGAAACTGAGATTTTGCTTTAGCAAACTGTATTTCACATGGCTCATAATGTTAAAAACCTTCATCGCAAAAATTCAAGGTAAACAATGCACGAGCAGCCCAATCCTCAACAATGAGTCAAGGCACCTAATCCATCAGTTTACCACTCAGATCTAAATGACCTGTTGCGAGGTGTTCCTTGTCTTTAACATCATTTATTCCACTCTACACGTCCCTAAAACTAAAAGGCTACTTTCTGTCCTACAAAATACAGACCAGTTAGCAGTTATCTTAAAACATACTGGCTA